TCGTCCGCCTAATGCATGGATTATTTTTCGTACAAATTTCGCAAGCAGACTACGATCTCAGGATTCTACCAATTTGTATAACGTTCAAGAAGTCTCTAGAATGGCTTCTAATAATTGGAAAACTCAACCCCCTTTAGTCAAACAGTTCTTTTACGCTCTTTCTAAATTGGCTCTACGACGTCATAAAGAAACTTACCCTGACTACGTTTACAGGCCCAAGGGAAAACAAAATAAGAAAAACGACTGGCTGTTTATAGAAGTGGATACAGAGAAATTTAAACAATGTAAAATTGACGAGAATATTACCAAGGAAAATCAAGAAGAAAAAGGAGTCAGCAATCAGTTGACCGACTCTGCCCGACTAGACGAATATGAGCAGCCCCAGGTATCGGATGGATATAACTGTGTGTCAATGGAGCCTCAAGTATCGAATGAATACGCTTTACCAAATAACTATTTTCAATTAAACGACCAATTCCAAGCATCTGATGAATATTCTCTCCCGGACGAATATGAACCTGTAGATGAGTATTTTCTAGTTCAAGTCAACGAATGCATCCCACTGGCTAGAAGACATGAATCGAATGAGTATGATGAATTGATCGGATACATTGATAGACAGCAACACGATTCACTTGTTGAGACGAGTGAAAGCTTTCGCACGATTTGGTACAGGATACAAAATGACGTATATTACGGCAACGTTCAGTCTGATGACAGCAATCCAGTAAGCAGTGGTGTAACTGATATTAACTATGCGTGTAGTCCCGCTCCTATATGCCATGGTGACAGCGATACGTCAGAGGGTGATTTTACTGGTGAAAATTTGCTGACAGTCCCACCGTTTTATACTAACGATAGTATTTAATCGCTTGTTGTCAATTTTGAAACGAATGTTTTCGTCCGTTATTATCCACTAGTTTCTCTCTTTTCTACGTTATCCTCTTCAGTAATAGTCGGACAAGATTGGTTTTATCAAGCCATTATTATAATTTTTACTTCGTTGGTCAGCTGATCGCATTAAGTG